GCCCTTAACCATCATACCACCTGTCAGCCCCTTCTTTCTCTCTCTCTCTTTTTTTTCTTTTTTTTTGAAAAAATTATTTGTTGGGACCAGCAGTTAGTGTACTGGCTATGTGGCTGAACTTCCATGTAGTTGACCGCGGTTCGAGTCCCACACCCGGTGTGTGTGTGTGTGCGTGCCCAGGATTCCGAGAGGAGAAGGGATTGCAGAATGGCCATCCCCCCATGGGGTGGGGGTAATTTCTTGCTAAAGTCCTGTTTTCCTTCTCTTTCTATAAGGGTGAAGAGGATCATGGATTGGGGGTATAGAAGCTGACCCAGCCCCACCTCTTACACTCTAGACTAAGCAAGGGTTTTCAGGTAGCTAGTGACTGGTAAAAGGCATGTTTTCATTTCTGCAAGTGCAGGATCAAAAATGGGGTTTTTGAGGCTAATTCAATTCTGCCTCCAATAGCCTACATTAGACAGGTAGTTTCAGGTCATAAATAGCTCCTATAATGCTTTCCTCTTCTCCTATGTGAGAGAAGGGTTAGCTCAAGGAGTGAGCCATTGTACCTTTTGCTTAGCAACTAAAGGATCAAGGGTGGGGATGGTTAGGCTGATTTAGCCCCTCCTCCCTCACCCTTGACTGGGCAGTGTATTTGAGGTCTAGCATGATGCTAAAACCTGTTTTCTTTTCATTCCTTTATGGATAAAAGATAGGATAAACTTAGCACAAGGAAAGCTGACCACAGCTACCTTCTACTCTGCATCTGCAGAATGAGGGGCACTGAATTGAGGCAATACAGACTCATCTCCTGCACCAAAGACAGGGTAGGGGGATATCAGATGGAAAAATGACTGCTAGAAGGCATGATTTCACTCTGCCCAATATTGGTAAAAAATAAGGTAAAGTGCGGACCAGCAGTTAGCATAATGGCTATGTCGCTGGACTCCCACGTAGTAGACCATGGTTCCCGTCCCGGACCTGGTGGCTTAAAACTCATGCCGGGCACGTGTGCGTGTGTGTCCAAGATCCCGAGAGGAGAATGGAGGAGAAGGGATTGCAGCGTGGCCATCCTCCCTGGGGGGGTGATTTTTCACTTTCTATCTCTCTGTCTTCCTCTGTCTGTCTGGTGAGCACACACGTCCTATAGCAAAAACCTCTCCAAAAAAAAAGATAAGGTAAAGTTAGTACAATAACAGTAACCTCACTGACTTTCTGCTTTGAAACTGTATGAAAAATGTTAGGGAGTTGAGGTCATTTTAGCCCTGAGTCCCATAATTTAAACGGTAGTGGGCATTAGGTAGACAAGGGTTACTATAAGATTTTTGTTTTGTTTTGTTTGATGTGATTTTGTTTTGTTTTGTTTTAATCTAGTCCTATATGAAGGAAAGATAGAGAAAAGTTAGTAGAAGGACTGCAGAATCAGGTTTGATGTACTAAGGCCCATTCAGCCTAACCTGGCATGATAGACTGGACAGTGGGCTTCCGGTGAAGAAAGGTGGCTAACATGCCAGTTTTCTCTGTGATATTGTATAGGTAAAGGATATGGTACAGTTAGCACAAGGATGGGTAACCCCACCTACATCCCACTCTGTAACTTCAGGATCTATGTGGTAACATAAGGCCATTTCAGTCCCACATCCCACACTCTAGATTGGGCTTGGGGTTTCAGGTGGAGAATGACTGCCAAAAGGCCTATTTTGGGGTGAGGGAGGGAGAGAAAAAGGCCTATTCTCCCTTTGCTCCATCTTCTCTATAACTGCAGGATCAATGGTGGATATGTTGAGGTCAATTAAACCCCACTTCCGACACCCTAAACTGAGCAAAGTCTTTAAATATACAATGGTTCCTAAAAGGCCAGTTTTTTTCTGTTCCTATATGAATGGAGAATAGGGTAAAGTTAACGCAAGAAAGGGTGAGCTGCCTTCCCTCTACTCAACAGCTGCCAGATCAGGTGTAGAGATATGAGGTAGACTACACTAGACTGGACAAGGAAATTTAGGTCAAGAATAGCTACAAAAAGGCCTGTTTATTCTTTGCTCCTAAACAGGAGAAGGGTACCACAAACTTAGCACAAGAAAGTATAACCCTGCCTTCCTCCTACTCTGTACCTGTAGGAAGAGGGGTGGAGGTGTCAAAGTTGATTTAGTTCTGCCTCACATCATAGACTAGGATGTGGGCTTCAGTGGAAAATGGCAGCTAACAGGCCAGCTCTTCCCTCCACTCCTAGATGGATAAAGTATCAAGAAAGGATGACCCAAACTACCCTCCAAACTGCATCTGTAACATCAGGAATAGGGGAATTTATGCTGATTCAGCCCCATCTCCTAAACCCTAGACTAGGCTGGGAGCTTCATTTGGATTGTGCTGCTAAAAAGCTTGTTTTCTCTCTGTTCCTTTATGAATTGATAGGATAAAGTTAGTACATGAAATGATGACACCCCTGACCTTGTAATCTACAACTGCAGATTGAGTGCTAGAGCTATTGAGACAGATTCAACCACATATCCTGCACCATAGAATGGGGGTCAAAATTCACATGGAAATGGCTGTTAAAGCACCCAATTTCTGTCTCTTCCTATATAGGTTAATTATTTCCTTCTTCTCCTAAATGAGTGAATTTATAAGGTAAAGTTAGAACAAGAAAGGGTGATCTTCCATAGCTTCCACTCTTCCACTGTAGACTCAGGGGTGGAAGTGTTGAGGCCAACTCAGCTCCACCTCAGCAACCTAGACTCTGTAGGAATCTTCAGGTAGAGAATGCTGGTTGAAAGCCTGTTTTATTTCTGTGCTCACAGAGGAAGAAGAATAAGGTAAAATTAGCACAATAAAGGATGACCCCGCATATCACTAACTCTATAAATATAGGATAAGGGTTAGAGGTGTTAAGACTCATTCAGTACCACTTCTAAGTGATAAATCAGGAAGCTTCAGGTGAAGAATGGCTACTAAAAAGTCCTGTTTTCCCTCAGTCTCTTCTATTCTGCAACTGCAGGACCAGGGATATGGGTATTGAGTTGATTCACTCTCACCTCCTCAACCCTATATTGGCAAGGAGTATTCAGCGGGAGAATCACTACAAAAAAGCCCTATTTCCCCTCTGCTCTAAATCCTGATGGATAGGGTTAAGTAAGCACAAGATAGGGTGACCTTGTCTACCTTCTAATTCTGCAACTAGAAAATAGGTGATTGGAATCTTGAGGCCAATTCAGCCCTTCTCCTGTATCCTAGACTAGGCAGATTAGCTGGAGAATGGCTGCACTTAGACCTGTTTCCCTATATTCCTATATGGGTGAAAGATAAAGTTATCTCAAGAATAAGTGAGCTCCCTACCTTCAACACTGTAATTGCTTAATTTGGGGTCAGATATTTAGGCTGATTCAGTCCTGCCCCCTGATTCTAGATTGAACAGGAGACTTCTGGTGGAGAATATATGAGAAAATGCCTGCTTTCCTTCTACTCTTTTTGTTTGTTTGTTTGTTTTTGAGAGGTTTTTGCTATAGGGCGCATGCACTCGCCAGACAGAGAGAGACAGAGAGACAGAAAGCAAGAAATCACCCCCCAGGGGGGATGACCACACCACAATCCCTTCTCCATTTCCTCTCAGGATCTTGGGAATGCACGCACATGTACCCAGCATGAGTTTAAGCCACCAGGTCTGGACTCAAACTGTGGTCTACTATGTGGGAGTCCAGCAACATAGCCATTACACTAACTGCTGGTACCTCCTTCTACTCTTTTATGGATGAAGGATTGGGTAAAGTTAGCCCAAATGGTGATACCTATTTTCTACTCTACAGCTCCTGAAGTTCAGGGTTGGGATGTTAAAGCCAATTTAGTCTGCCTTTCACACTCTAAACTGGACAGAGGGCTTCAGGTTTCTCTATGCTCCTGTATAGTGAAGGATATAATAAAGGTAGTATAGGGAAGGCTGTCTCACGTATATTGTAATCTGTTACTTTAGGATGGGGATGGGAAATTCGAGAATTATTCAGCACTAATTCCACAACCTAGATAGGGAAGGAGGCTTCAGGTAGAGAATTGTGGCTAAAAACATGTTTACCCTCTATTCCAACACAGATGAAGGATCAGGTAAAGTTAGCACAAGAAAGGATGACCCCACTTTTCTTTGCAACTGAAGGATCTAAATAGGGGCAGGGCCCTATTATGCCAATTCGACCTTGCTTTTTGCACCTAGACTTGGCAGAGCCTTAACAAGGAGAATTATTGTTTAAGGACGTGTTTTTTTACCTCCACTATGTAAATTAAGGCCACTGTAAAGTAAGCACAACAGAAAAATAACATTGATTGCCTTTTATGCTGCAAGACCAGGATCTAGAGTGGGGAGTGTTGGCACTCAGTCCCATCTCCTGCACCCTAAATCAGGTAAGAGGCTTCAGGTGGTAAATAAATGCTATAATACTTGTTTACCCTCTATCTTTATATGAGCTAAAATAGAGTATAGCTGGCTACATACAGGTATGTTTTCCCTTTGTTCTTTCTCTTCTACAATCAGGAATGGGTACTCTGAGGTCAATTAAGGCCTACCTCCCAAACACTAAACTAGACAGGTGCTAGAGGTGAAGACTGGCTTCTAAACAGCTTGTTTAATTTCTTCTCCTGTAAAGGAAGAGGGTAGTTTAAAATTAGCACAAGAAAGGGTGACTCACCTACTCTCCACCCACATACTACCAGATCAAGTATGGCAGGGTTTGAGGGCAGAGGGCTTAGGTAGAGAATCACTGCTGAAAGGCTGATTACCCCTCTGCTCCACTATGAGCAGAAGGGCATAAATTTAGCATAAGATTGGGTAACACTGCCTCCCTTTTACTCTGTAACTGCAGGAACAGTGATGGGGTGTTGAAGTCAATTAAGTACTACTTTTCACAGCCTAGACTGGGAACTAGGTATCACTTAAAGAATGGCTACTCAAAGGCTTTTTTTTTTTTTTTCCTCTCTATTCCTATGTGGGGGAAAGATAGAATAATTTTCTTACAAGAAAGTGTGACTCCCCCTACCTTCTGCTCTGTAAATGCAGGAATAGGAGTGAGGATATTGAGGTCAATTCAGCTCCACCCACTACATCCAAAACTGGATAGAAAGCTTCAGTTGGCGACTGGATACTAAAAGATCTGTCTTCCCTCAGCTCCTATAGTGGTGAAATATAAGGAAAAATTAGAACAAAAAAGGGTGATACCATCTAACTTCTACTATGTTTCTTCAGAATCAGGGGCAAGGGTACTGAGGTCAACTAAACCCCACCACCCACATCCTAGATTGGGCTGGGGATTTCAAGTGGAAAATAGCTGCTAAAAGGTTTGTTTTCAATCCTATATCTCAAAGGTAGGGTAGTGTTACCACAAGAAAGGGTGACCCACCACCTACCTTCTATTCAGTAACTGCAAGTTCAGGGATGAGAATTGAAGAGTCATTCCATCCTGTATTCCAACCACTAGACTGGGCAGTAGACTTCAGGTGGAGATAAAGTACAAAAGGTTATTCCCTCTGCTCCTATATGGGTGAAAGAGGAAGTAAAGGTATCTCACACAAAAGATGGACCTTCCTATCTTCTACTCTGCAATGGCAAGATCAGGATAGAGGTTGTTGAGCCCAATTCAGTCCTGCCTGTTGTACCAAAGAAAGAAATAAAAAGGGGGGGGGGCGGTGTGTGCACATGTGGCTTATAGTGGAGAATGGCTGATAAAAACCTTATTTCCCTCTGCTTTTTCTCCTTGGAAATTGCATGATCAGAGATGTGGGTGTTGAGAATTTTACCTTGACTACCACATCTTAGACTGGCTAGGAAGCTTAGGGTGTGAAATGTATGCTAAAAGGCCTGTTAACTCTCTGTTCCTATATGGGTAAATGATATGGAAAAGTTAACACAAGGAAAGGTGACAAGGCCTATATTCTACTTAGGCAACTGTAGGATTAGTTGTGAGGGTTTTAAGGCCAATTAAGCCCCACCTCAAGCATCTGAGTATACCCACTGGGCTTCAGACAATGGTTGCTAAACTGTGTTTTCCCTTGGTCTGTTCTGTAACTGCAGCATCAGGATGGGGCCATTGAGGGCAGTTCAGTCCAATTCAGTCATACCACCTGCATCCTAGACTATGATATGGTATTCTTCACCTGAGACATGGGAACCAGCAGTTAGCGTATGTCGCTGGACTCCCACGTAGTCGACCACCGTTCGCATCCTGGACCTGGTGGCTTAAAACTCACACCGGGCGTGTGTGCGTGCATGCCCAAGATCCCGAGAGGAGAATGGAGGAGAAGGGATTGCAGCGTAACCATCTCCC